GGCCATTTGCGGCGCGACTCTGCCTAGGATTTCGGGGCGCAGTGGGGCAGGTCTGTTGGCTACAAGCCCCACGGGCTGGTGTCTCCTCCTGAACACACTTTGTTTGACTCGGCTATTGCTTTTTGGGTTTCTGGTCTCTTTGGTGGCTTCTTGGACCTGTCCCGAATCAGTAGGTCTGCATGGGCTTGGTTGACACTTTGCTCGTTTGCCAGCCCTTTGCCAGGGACGCGGGACTCGTTGGAGACACTTCGTTCCCTGTGCTCGGCCCAGGGACCTGAGCAGTTGCTGCAGGCCGGCATGGATGCTGTGGCTGGACCAAGAGCTGCATGTGGCTCCTGCCGGGCAGCAGGACAAACCTCATGCCTGGCTTTCTTGTACACTCGTAAATGGTGTCATTTTTAGCAAGACAAATCATTTAAGGGCCAGCTTTCTCCATCCCTGGGGAGGTGGGAAAGGTGCCTTTTTACAATCCACCTCTGCCAGCACAGCAAACCCAACTGTTATCCTCTAGTTATTTCAGATGGGTTTTATTTAGAGGCCTGTATTAAAAAGAGGGAACTAAATACCAGGGTATCCCTGGTGTGGAGTGGGTGATTTCTTTCCTCCCTCAGCTCAGGTGTGGGCAGGGTGGAGTTTGCTACAGCTGTGTCCTTATATAAAGGGCAGGTTGAGGCACAAGTTCCCCCTAAGGAGGGGCTGCTGGAAATGCCAGAGCAGCTGGTGTGGAGCCTTCCTTGTCCTGGGAGAGGTAAGAAAAGCTGCCCCTGCAGTTTACTTTGTTCTTGTGTCTTGAGCAATGGAATTTAACGTTATGAAAGACTCTCTTATTTGAGGTTTGGGTTTAAAAGTTTGGCTGGAAATCAGGTGGGGGACAAGCGCTGGGCTCAGCATGGCTTCTTCATGTCCCTTGGCTGCTGGTAGGAGGACTGGGCTGGTGCCAGTGCTGAGGTCTGTGGGACAAAGTCATGCGGAAACATCCACCCCCTCTGCAGTGCTTATTACCGGCTCCTTTCTGAGCTGGGCATGCAGTTGGGGCTGCCCGGCATGGCGAATGTCACCCTCTGGAGCATGGCCCTGGGGTGCCCAGGCCATCCTGGGGTGAACGCACCTGAGCTCTCTGAGCGCCAATGGGGTGGTGAATACAAAGACTGAAAGCTAACATTGGACTTAAATATTACTTGCTACAATCTGAGATATAGCAGTAGATGTGAGAATTGGACTACTTAGAAGTAATTAATTATTACCCTAGCAATCTTAGAGCACACAATTAAAGCAATCGCCATTATTACCAAGTGGTATTTTCTTAAGGTGAAATGCCTTGTTGGGAGGAGATGGATTTTAAATGTGTTGGTACCTGTCTGAGCCTCTGCTGTCACCTGTTGGTGACCAGGCTGGGGTTTGGGTGCTGTGATGTTGAGTTGGTGGTGGAGTTTGAGTTTGTTCAGCAACTGCTTGGAGAGGCTCAGCCCTGAGGGGCACCAGGACCTGTTCAAGGGTGAGTGTGGAACTGGCTGGGGCCCTCGTCAAATGAAGACATCACTCTGTCGTGAGGCCCCCAATTGGCAGAGTGCTTAAAACAGGTGTTCGGATGCCTTCGCACAGGCAAGGGCTTTGCTGAATCAGGCAGTGATGGGAAGTTTCTTTGGCAATGAAAAGAGAAGGACTGATGGATTACGAGATATTATAGACTTGATATTGACTGGGATATGGTTGCATTTAATATATTTGTTCAGAAAAGACAGTGAAGGCAACTATCCTGCTCTCCCTGCGGGGCTGTACTGGTGTGAACACTGCCCTGTCCCTGGTGTGAGCGTTGTTACCTTGAGCATGGTGAGAATTGTGGTCATCAGACTGAGTGAGGTGTTATGCATCTGACATGAAGCAATGACCAGGCTGAGACAAAATCATTCCTCTCATATTCATGATTTATTTGGCTATATCTGCATTAGCATAACTTTTTAAAACCAGAAAGAGAGCCTATGGCTATTGCTTGGTGTAAGGGCTGTGGTGCCCAGCACAGTGCTGTGGTCTCACTGTGTGGATGCTCTGGGGACGAGGACTGGGTCTTGCAGGCACTTCTCAATGGGAGGCACTGAATGCCTTTTTACGAGTATCACGGTCTGGAAAAGTACTGAGATGAGGCCCAACCTATAAGGAAAGGAGCAGATAGACGATTGGTTAGGGCAAGCAGCCGGCCAAAGAAAATAGGTTGTAGCACAAACAGGGAAGAGACTGCAGATTTGCACAAGGTTTTTTACCTGTTTGGGAGACGTTGCTCCAGCTGAAGTTAAACGCTTAACCCATTTAAAATGAGGACTAATTTTCTGATTGACTGCAGGAGATTCTTATAATGCTCCAGTAACAAGATCCTGTAGTTTTACTATGGTGTGTTGGTTGTCTGATGTTTTCAAATGCTGGCATGCTTCAAGATGGACCCCAAAATAAATATGACTTGTTTTCTACAACACAGGACTTGTGGGCTTTACTGAGGGGGCCAGGAGGGGCTCAGAGCTCCCAGGGAAGCCCCCATCAGGGTCAGGGACTCATGCATGACCTGCCCAGCAAACACATGAGCAGCCTCTCCCCAGGAATCTCCTTTGAGGTGGGGAGGGGGTGAACAAGTGCCCATGACAAATAAACAAAGGGGAAATCACCTGGGGGAGAAAGGTCCAGGGGCCCTTTGAGATGAGTGGTGGGTTTACACACAGCTGCATGCGGCAAACCTATACAGTAGATGCAGAATTACTGAGATGTATGAGTGTCTTCATGTACGGAGTGGGTTTACTGTGGGGGCCCACAGGCTTTCCCTGCCCTGACACAATTCCTTGTGCCATACGTCTGCCTTGTGTGGATGTACCGAGCCGCCTCCTGCTTCCCCCACCTTGCTCAGGCTGGCTGGATGTCAGATTTTGCATATGTAAAAATACACAGCAGTCTTTGCCCTGAAAAGCTTGCTAGTGATCTCATTAATCAAGACAAACAAAGAGTATTTAGCTATTCCCCCTCTCTAGAGGAAGGCGTTCAGGTACTTAAATATGCATTTGAGTGCCTAACTTCAGACGTTTTTTTCAGGATGTTTTTGCTTTCTCTCAAGTAGTGGCAGTGACATAACCCCTCTCGGGGAGGGAAAGGTGGGGGAGGCACAAACAAGGGCTGCTGAAGTAGGTGGGCAGCCCCTGGGAGCTGGCAGGGACAATTCCCAGCTGGGCAAACTTCAACCTCCCATTAAAGATGCAGGCGTTTTTCCCCTCAGAGCTGGGATTGTTAGAAAAATCCAGTCCCTGCAGGTAAAGACAACTGATCTGCTTCTCCTGAATGTGCCTCTGCCTTCCCCATCGTGCTCCCTGCCCACCAGCGCTGGGAACTGGGCAGGAGGAAATTTCTGCCTAGGATTAGGTTAAAGCCACAGGGGAGGAAACAGCAGTTTATTCACTCCAGTCTTTGTACAAAGCTCTCAGGTGAGAAATGTCACACTGAGCCACAACTGGCAGTAATTAAAATTAGCAGAGCCCTTGAAAAAGTTGTGAGGAATGCCAGCTTCTGCCCTCAGCTTGAGTTAAGTGGGAAGCACCAGGTGTAGGACAGGGGACAAGTGCTATTTTAAAAAATGAGAAACCCTCTCATAATGAGGGACAGTTGAGAAGTATGGATTAGTCCCAAGCCAGTAATTAGAGTCAAGATAAGGGTGTCCTTGGGTCAAAGGTCTTATTATGACAGAGACTGGTGTTGAGAAGTCAATGCCAGTGATGAATCCTCATCTCTGATTCTTCTAATTCATATTTTAAATGATGAACCCAAAGGTACTTCCTCTAGAGACAGCTGATGATCTTTACCATTACTGTGATGTGGTTACGGGCTGCTATGCCAGGGTTTTGTCTGAATCGTGGATGGGGAGCATTGGCTGTAGCAGGACAGGAATGTGGTTTGTAGGCACAAGCTGGGTGGTTTTCCCTGCAGGATGATGGAGCTGCAATGGTTTTCAGCTGCTGATTAGAAGCAGTGTTTCCCTGTTGTTCTTTGCATTTGTTATTGACAAAGTAAAACCCGTAGGACACTTGCAGCTGGGATGTTGTAATGTCAGTGTTTGCTTCAAAGAATTAGAGGGGCAATTAAAAAAAACAAACAAACTTAGCACTCCTAAAACTTGAATATGTTTTCAGGGGTTATTTTCACTTGGGCTTCTCAGTTATGATAATGTTTTAAATCAGAGGACTGTAAATGATGACTTGTCAAGCGTTAATACAGCCACATGCATGTTGCAAGCAGAAGCGGGTATGTTAATGGAAGGCTAAGAAATGGCATGTGAGATGCTGAAAGGCTAAGCGGGCACAAGGAAAGCAGAAATGAGCGGATACAGATTGTCAGAGCTCCTCTGACAGCAGCAGAGCGTGCACCCCAGGGACTGACCAGGGTTTCGTGGGTGCTGTTGGTGTTGGGCATGTCGATGTTGAGGTGGGTGCTGGGGTGTGTGTGCCATAGCTGCTGGGCACCGTGAGCACCCTCGGGTCGTCAGTAAGGTTAGCTTCTGGGGGGAAAGGTAAATTTCCCACCCTGGAAGGGGGGGCTCTCCTCCTGCCCTGGAAGGGTCCCCGCGTGCTCGGCTGCAGGGAGATGCGGCCGTACCCGCTCCTCTCCCAGCGCCTGCCCGGCTCTGCCCGCCTGCGCAAAGGCAGCTTCCCAGCCTTGTACGATTTTTCACTTTAACAACAAAGCTGCCCCTAGACTCAGCCTAGTTTTTCCATCCATCCATTTGATCGAATCCTTTTAGCGGGTGACAAAATACTTTCTTGAGCTCTCTTTACAGGAAACCAATCTCTATTCCTTTTTAAAAACCTCCCTCATTTACAAGAATCTAACAAATCCTGGGCCTTTTAAGTCTTCTCCTGTTCCCCCCCCCCTCCCCAAACAACACAAAACAACAGTGCCATGTTTGCAGATTTTTTCAGGGGGGAGGAGGGAATAAAATACACAATACGGAGAGGGGTAGGGTGTACAGACTGACGCACGCCGCGCCGAGCATCCCCGTACGGGCAAAAACCGCGTGCGCACATCGAGATGCAAATGATTTCCGTGAAGCTATCACTTGTAAAGCTTGACAGAAAATAATGAGAAACACTAAATCTTTTATAAGGTCAACACTCAAGCAGCTGTCAAACAAGAAAAGAATTTAGCGAAAGATCCGCAAAAACTTCCATCGCCTCATTAAATCCAACAGGGCCGGGGCCCGGCGTGGTGAGGAGGCACCGGGGCGCCTCCGTTTTGTGTCAGTAATTTGCGGCGGAGGAAGAGGGAAGACGAAACAGCCAGCGCCGAAGGGGCCTTGGGGGAGGCTGGGGAATCGTTAGTGCGCCAGGAGCGGCCTCGGCTCCTAATTGGAAGCATTGGGCATTATCAACGGAGGATTTGCCTCGGCTCCCTGACAGCTCTCTAGGCCTGGAATGATAGCCCACTTGTCAGTGTAAAAGACCATTAAAAACAAACCATTTTGATTTAATTGGAGGCGGTGCGCTGGGGGCCCAGGTGAGGCGCTTCATCAGCCGATGTTGGCTGCTGATGCCTTTTTCCCCCTGTATTGATGGCTTTTTTTTTTCCTCCCCTCCCTTTCAAAAACTGTCTAGGAAAGAGAAAGAGGTGCTGAAAGATCCTTCACAGCTGCATTGAGAGTGGCTTTCAATAGGGTTGTCAACAAATGCCATGACAAGTTAGAGAGAGGCAGGTATTTTTAAAACAGACGTTATTCTGTCCAAGATGAGCTGCGCTCGGAGGTGTGTGTTGGATTATTAGGGTTACAAATACTGTGGCTTTTCCTGGCGGTCGCGTGCTTAACCAGTTTAATGAATGGGGTTGATTGTTCTCTCCCCACCTTTCTAATTCCAAGAACGTAGGGAAATACAGGACAACGGAGTCTCGGCTAAATGGTCCTTATTTGCTTCAAACCCAGGAAGGTTTCAAAAAGTGCTCAGCAATTTTTGGCTGCTGCATTTAATGCCCCATGGAGATTTGGGAGGGTGTTTTTTTGCATCCTGAAAATAAGGGCTGCAGATGTTTGCTGGAGTTCACTGGTCACTTGGTCTGGGCAACAGTGTGAGTAAAGGAGAATTAACCCACTGGAGCTGTAACCCAGCGTGTGCCCCCCTTGGTAGATGTCCTGGGGTCAGACCAGAGCCGGCAGCTCTCACACTGACCTCGTGAGTTTGAGATTTGAATCCTGACCCTTTTCATGCCAGGCAAGGGGTTTATTTCAAATGAAATTGTCTATTGGTAAATAGCATCTCTGCAGAAGGCAGAATAGGTCCAGGAATGAAACCCCAAAGTCCACTTAAAAAGCACTTCTGTGGATTTGTGTATGAAAAAGTAGGTAGCCCTGAAATCAATATTAGGGTCTCACCTGTAACTCAACACAGTGTGTGTGGTTTTGCTCTGCTGCAAAGCACCCCGTATTTGTTTATTCAGAGGTGAACATCTCCATAACAGGCACGGCCATTGGTTGCCAACAGTGGCTGGTGCTGCCTTTGGACACCAGTGCTTGGATGTAGGTGAAGCCTGTCCTGGAGTTGGCTCAGGCTATAAGGCTGCGCGGGGAGGGGTGGTGTTCTTTTGTGTCAATGTACAGATGTTGGAGAGCAGTGAAAATGGCAGAGGAGCGATGGGTTACCATGTCTCTGAAGCAGACATGAGGAAGGGCTGAGCATGGCAGAGGGCAGAGTTAGGTTGTGATGGAGAAGTTAAGTGTGCAGGGCACGTGCAAAGGGATACGGGGAAAGGCTGCACCACGGAAATGCTTCATGGCGATTTGAGCAATTGTGTTGCTGGAAGCTTCAGCTGTCAGGCAAAACAAGAAAACCTGCATAATCTGCAAGAAAATGTAGTGATGGTGACTGGGGCCTGTGGCCCGTGTTTAGTCACAGAACGGCTGTGCTGTGGGATGTGACATATCTGCTGTGGTCCCAGTGGAGATGCGCAGGGATCGTGCCCAAGGTAGCTGGGTCTCTGCTGCCCATTTGGAACCCTGAAGGTGTTGTATTTTCTTTTTGCTTTGTGCCTGTTGTAGGCAGGTCAGAACTGAAGACTGAAGATTGTCACTGCTGGGCTGGAACCCACCAATTCTTGTCACTTGGGCCATTGAACAGCCATCAGGTGACACTGATTTTTATTTATTTGGGTTTTTTTTTGGTCAGCCAAAATCCCAGCTGAAGGGAGGTTTGATCTGGTACCATGGTGACAAAAAGCTCTTGAACTCATTGCTTTATTCTTTAAGCACTCTTTAGGCTCCAGGAGAGAAGTATTATAACACTCCAACTTCATGAAGTTTTGCTGCCCTCAAACCTGGGAGGATAAATGCTGTACCTGAAAAGCCAGCCCACCACGCGCTGCGTGCATCAAGCCTAGGTTATTTAAGTAGAATCTATGGCTTTTCTGACAAGACAACAGTTGCAAGATTACATGAGCTGTGCTTGTCAGTTCAGCTCTTTAGACAAAAATAGAGGTAAGGCATTAAAAAAAAATGCGGAACATTTTTGTGTGTATGTGTTAAACCTCAACTGTTAATTCTGACGAAGGATCAGGCTGTGAGCAGATATCGGATCCCTGGTGAGAATCAAATTCTGGAGCCCAGAATTTTGCTGCAAAGTTTATACAGTGGGGATTCCTCTAATTACTTTCAGTGGAAATTTACCTGACAGAGCTTTCCCAGGTAACGCAAGGCATACGCAGGAGAGCCGCTCAGCCGTTGACAGAGCCTTTGATTTTGTGCCAGGTTGCAAATTAAGTCTTTTGCCAAGGTACCCGAACACTTGCTCGTCAATTGCTTATCGCTTATTCATATCGCGCATCGAGCGCAGCTCGTTTCATCTGCTCGGGAAGGCAGCGCGTGTTGACAAAAGTGTTGTCCAAAGTTGCTGCATTTTCTTTCCTCCCCCTGTTTGGTCAAGTAAACAAGACTATTCTCCCTGGAAAGCCACCTTGAATGTCTGTGCCAGCTGGAATTCTCTAATGAGCAAAGGAAACACCCTGGTGTGTGTCAGTGACACGTGGTGCACGGAGCTATTTTGACACACAGGTGAATTCTGCCCTACATCACTGCTGCGTGAGGTGTCGCTATCAGAATCCTTCTGGACTGACTTGATAGAGCCCTGGAGATCTATTGCAGAGTGGCTAGTGTTGACTTACTGGTTTGGACTGTGACTGAAGCCTCACGCTGGGCTGGCACAGGCAAGGCTGTGGGAAGGCAGTATTTTGTCACCAATGTCCTTTTCAGAGTTTGGTTGACATCAGGGATGCCATTCTGCCTGGGTCAGCATGATGTTAGTGATGAGTGACACAGGGACAGGACGCATCCCATGAGCATGGCAGTAGCAGTATTTATTTATGTCCATGCTGGGTGCCTAAGGTACAGTCCCCAAGGGATGTAGTCCCACATCTACAAATAAATGATGTCTTGGTGCACAGTTCCAGCTACGTTGGCAAAACCCGAGCCCAGGAATTACGTCACTGCAGGCAGAGCAAGGCAGAGGCCATTTGCCTTGGGGGGTGACTGAGGAAGAGGAGGGCAGTAGAAGCATCTTGCTGAGGTGAATAAGGCGTTAACTTCTGCTTGGTTTTGTACCAAAAAAACCCAAGGACCTCCAATTCAGCAACTTTCCCTAATGAACTGCCCATCAGAACATGACTGGCTCCCTGCGATCTGTTTGTCTCGGGGAGTTGGAGGGCCCAGGGGACCACAAGCCAGGTTGGTCCTTCAGAGCGAGACAGAGCAGGAGTGATCACCCGGTGTGGGAGAGCCTGTAAATCACCCGGTTAGCTTAATAGCGTGGGCCATTATTCTAAAGCAGTGGGGCTGAAACCTAAATCCAAATGAAAATATAGTCAATTTGTCTATACTTTACTGACTGAATGACTATGTAATGTCACACAGCCCTGGCAATGCAGGGAGCAAGCAGAGGCAATTAGTGGGGAGGGCAAAGCTCCTTTGTTTTCTTCTTTTCCCCTCACATCCTCTAGCATGGTGCCAGGAGTCAGTCTTGCAGGGACTCGAATGAAAAGTCCAGTTTAAGAATGAGTAGTGACATCCATGGCCAGTTTCTGCAGCTCTCTGTAAGGGGTCAGGATGGGAATAGAAAAATACTCCAGGTTGATTTTTATGGGTCTAAAGGAACAAAATCTCATCTTCCTGCTGCCCCCTGCTTTGGGTTACAAACACCTCGGCACCTGGGTGCTCTGTGTGCCTCTCCCCAGGCCCAGAGCAGGACAGACTGAAAGGCATTATGCCAGATGATGGGACGACTGAGTGACAAGGACGATGAGTGGCTTGAGAGTATGTCACACCCCTGCACCTTGCACCAGCCTCAGGTCATGTGGAAAAATAGTCCAAAGTGGGGCTGTGGTCACAGCAATGGAGTCTCTGAATATTCTTGCCCAGAGTTTGAAGTCGTTCCCAGGTCACAAGCATCTTTCGTAGTGGCCAGAGCAGTACAATGTCACTGAAAGCTGAAATAATTTGCAGATTGGAGTCTGCTAACACTTTACTTTCTGTAAAGTGATATTTTTGTGGTTGCTTTTCCTACTGCTTTTTGCGCAGTAGGATGAGGGTGTTTTAGGGATTAATGACAGTGTTTTGGTAAACAGCCTACAGTGGTCAGTGCTAACGGCTGGCTTCCCCAGGCCATTGAGTCTTAAAAAAGCCATAAAGTAGTTATCCAACACCATGGACGAGCCTGAGAAATGTTTCATGAGGACAGAAACACCACAAGAACAAGCTCCCTCATCTCTTCGGAGCACCGGTCTCTGTTGTCACTCTTGTAAAGGAGGGACTGACAGAGTGACTCGCAGAACGTCTGGGTTTGGTTGAAGGGTTAGGCCAGTTTGTCTTTCAAGACATACCACCACCACCTACATAGAACCCAACTTTACAGAGATGGTTAAAGCACAGTTTGAAGGCTACCAAGGGTCTTTGGGAACCATCAAATTTCTTTGGGTTGTTACTGCTTTTAAGTGGATAAACATTTATGGACATTCAAGAGAACGTATTTTCCCATGGAGGAAACCATGCACTGAAACTCAACTGAGCAACGAATTTCCCGATCCAAGTTCTAACATTGGCTGTGCCTGTTAGATCTGCAGCAAGGCAAACATTCCAGGTTAATGTAATGAGAAAGGAGGAGTACAGAATATCTGCAGAGGTTCTGCAAAATGAGCTGTCCCTCCTCCCCTGGATGCTGCTCATGGGAAGGAATGGAAGAGGAGAGGAAAGGGAAAGGCAGAGAGAAGTAAAGACTCGGAGGTTTGAGAGCTGTGGCTGGGGGAGGAACCCAACCACAGTCATGGATGAAACAAAAGGGAAAGCATGAAGAAAAACACAGGCTGAAAAATGAATAGTGATGGAAAGGTCTGGGGTGAGAGGAGCTCTAAAGAGGAGGCTTGCCCCAGTATCTCGTGTGACTTACACAATCTGTTTAACAGCGATCGGTCATGTTCTTTCCCTGACACTAGCCGCAGCAGCAGCTCTGTGCTGACAGGCAGCGGGGATAAATGATTACTGACATATGCTAATCGGACAGTCTTAGACAGGACGTAAGAGGAATACATCAAGGTGGTGCAAAACACATTTCTTGGTCGAAACTCTCCAACTTGTACAAGTAAATTAGCTTCAGGAAGTCACTGAAACTGCAGTTAAAAATCAACAGCATGGCAAAAAAAATAACCCCGTCAGAACAAGGGCCGGGGTGGAGGGCTGAGAGGCTCTTTGCAGTGGTATCTATCAATGCCAGATATGATTTTGGCCATGTAAACTCCCTGCAGGGTTTCAGGGCTTTCAGACTTTCTGGTGTCTCCTTTCCATTCCCCTTGCCCAGCTCTTTTCCCTTCCTTCCTAAAATGCCCCCTAGCTCTTCACTTGAAGTTTCCCTGTAATTTACACCACAAACAAAGCTAAGAGAATTCAAACAAGCACCCTAGAGCACGGCAGGATGAGCAGATGAATTCAGGGAGATGTTTAGATCCCATTGCTAGAACAAGAAATCTTCACCTTGGCTCTTATTTGGATCAATTAAAGGAAGTGTCACACACATCTGTAACCTGGCTAGACTCTTTGCTCAGTCTCGGGGTGAATATTGTCAATCAGGTAGCTTAGAAGAGGTATCAAGAGTGCAGACTTTCTGGAAAGCTCTAATTCTTGGGGTGAAAATGCTTCTTGAAACATCTGGTGTGGTTTGAGTTAGTTACGGTGAGAGCTGAAAAATGGCAGGCTACCAAAATGCCATTGTGGTTTGACTGTCCTGTTTGCGTAGGGCAGTTGTGGGACTACCAGCAGAGAACAAAAGCCATCACAGTACTAACAGGGAGACAGAGATGCTTCTTATCTGCTGAAGCTTATGGAAGTGCACACAAGTCAGAAAATAAGTCATTAAGCCCTTATTTGGGTGACTGCTGCCTACCTGCCAGGGCTTATGGCTGCAAAAAGCATCGCACCTTGAAGTCCAAAGGGGCTGATGTTTGAATACATCCAGTGCGGGAGCATTTTATGGTCTGGTCTCAGGGAGCTCTGAGGTAAGAGCCTTGTGTGTACCTTCATTGTGTGCTACGGGTGTTATCAGGGCACATGGGCAAGGTTAGAAGGTGTCCCTGGGCTCAGTTAAGTGCTCCATACCTTCTCCAAGCGGGGCAGGTGCCAGAAGGACTCCTCCTTTGCAGGTGGTGGATGTTTTCGCAGAAATGTAGTGCGAGTTTCATGGACTCTTTCTTTCTGTAAGCAAAGGTAAACAAGACTGGGCTGAAACATCTGCACAGGTGTGTGTATATATATATATACATGCATCAGATCGGTGCCGTGCAAGGTAATGACACTGGGATGAATAAGACTAAAAGTCGCTTTGGACTGATGATCACAAGTGTCTGATCTGGGTAGTTTTTCATGTCCATGCTGCTAATACTGATATCTAAAACATACTGATGAGAAAAACGCGTGCAGCTGCCAGCTCTCAGTGTCTGTTTTATTCGGCATCCCAGTGAGATGACTGCTGCCCGCAGGAAGCCCTGTGCTCCGAGCTAGAGCAATGGCTCATCGCTCGCTGCAAAAGTCACTTCCACCACCACCACCACCATGGGGGGCGTTCCTGGCTGTCCGGTGTGTGTTGCTCTCCTGATTAATTACAGCCTGCAGTGCTTGATAGTCCCAGTACAAGCCAGTGCAGGTACCTGGTGAACGTTTTGGCCACTGCGTGGAACACTGGGGAATCTGCTCTGGGGTCTAGGATGTAGGTTTGCATTGCTTAACTCAGTAATTGGTGGCTGCAGGCTTCGGGAACTTGATGGAGGGAACTTAGTGATTAAAAACATGAGTCATTAATAGATAAGGTAGGGATGCACTTTCCAACATCCTGGGCTTATGTATTCATAACGTAGCTGCTAATTAAGAACACTGTATTCTTGCACTTCAACTATAAAGCACAGTTTGTGATGGCAGTAAGCCCATTGAAATTGGTTATTACCATATTAGCTTGACTCTTCTTTGAGCCATTAACTAATAAAACAGTCATTGGCTGCTTTTAAATGTTATTATAATATTAGTGTGTTTAACAGCTCAGTGTTGTACTCTTAACAACTGCTGCGGGTGCTGGCATCAACCCCACCACGCCAGGATCAGGGCTGATGCTGGTCCTTTGAGCACTTGTTGGCTGTTCCATTGTTTTGTCCACTGTCACAGGTAACCTGAGCAGAGCTGATGCCCTCCAAAGGACAGTCTGCAGGGCTCCTGGCACGAGGATGACATCAATACCAAAGATAATTTGAAACTTAATTCTCTGTTACAGCTGGGTGTTTTACTGTTGTGGAGATGCAAAAAGAACCAGAGCCTCCATTTTAATTGATAGCAGGAGTTTAACTGGGCAACCTGTGACTAGAGGCACAATGATGCAGACAGATGCTTGAAGATAGCTAGAACGGTGTCTAAGCCTTTGAAAGGCCTTGGCCAAAGCACTGCTGCCCTGGAGAGCTTGCTCAGCTCCTATCTATATACCTTCAGGTACAAAAATACTTTTAAAAAACCCACACCTTCCTTTCTGTCTCTAAAACACTTTCATGCACACGCACTGTGATCTGCATATCAGGTGTTCACTCCCACAGCATCGCCACACAGGACATGCGCTGGCTGAAGCCAGGACTATCTAGGCTGGGAAGCAGCCGATCTTTGTTAGGCTTCACCAGCCTTCTAGTAGTCAGGGAGGATGTTATCCCAGCTGAGAGCCCTCCCCGTGGCTGGGAGAAGCCCATCCGTGGTGGGGCAGGACAGTGGGGGTTATGCCAGGTAGCAGTGCTGTGCACAGCAAGGGAAACCGCTGCTGCAGTATTACCTTTTTCTTTTCTGCTCGCAGGGCTGCTGTCAGGGCTCTCTGCTGCTCCATCCACAGCTCCTTGTATCTGTGTTGGAGGAGGTCAAAAAAGGGAGTGCAAGGCCTGGAAAACATTGAAAAGACAACAATACAATCTCCAGGGTTAATACCACTGTTTACCTTCCCACGCTGATTCATATCTCTGCTCCTGGAAAGCGCAGACTGGTGAGAATATGAATAAACCCTCACACCGGGAAGGGCTTTCTCTTCCTCAAGAAAGACAAAACCCCAAATTCATTTGCAGTTAATACACCACAGCCTGCACGCATTTGTGATAACCTGTGGCAGGACTGTGCTAGGGAATTCCCCAGAATGGGCATAATTTCTATCTTCACAACAACCTTTTATAGGGCCCATATCACCACCTCTGTTCCAGCCCTGGTGTGCTGGAGGGACCATGCAGCACCACAGAGCGTGACTCAACCTTGGGCCCTGCTATGGCTCCAGGACAGTGTTTTCCAGCTGGTACCCGGTGGTGGGTAATGAAAGCACCGAAGGGGGTAACGTGCAGGAGCAGAGAGCTGGGCCTTTGCATTGCCACCCTGGAGCTCAGAGGAGCAGCTCTGCCCAGCTGAAGGCCAACCTGCTGGGTCCTCTCCAGCCTGACACAGCCATCCAGCTGCCTGGGAAGAACCACTGGGTGTCAAGTGTTTTGCTAAAATAACACTTCTTTTGCTATTAAAATATCAATAGTGTGGTATACCAAAAAGCTGCAAACAGAAGCAATGGCGGATTGGGTGAGAGGAGTAGGCGCTGTTCTAAGCAATCTGACTAGGGATAAAGTGGACTCAATGCAGACCGTCGGGTGTCTGCCGTCGGGTGTCTGCAGCAGAAAGGAGAGCTGAACTGCTGAGCCCCAGTCTAGTACCTCAGCTGCACAGACCAGATGTATTTGCCCCTTGAAACAGGGTACCGTGGAGCATCCTGACTGGGAGGAGACAGCGGCAGAGAGGAGCTGCAGATGACCACGATTCTAGAAAAACAGTACAAACAAAAGGCAGTTGCTTGTCGGCCGGTGTCCCATTCAGCTGCTCTAAGCTGGCATTAACCTGACCAGCTTGTGGCAGAGCTGCAGCCTGAAATTGTTGAGCCCTGCTCCTTGCAAGTGAGGATACTCACTTCATCGGCCACCATGGGAGTCAGAACTGGCAGTGGCAGCAGCAGGGTTCTTGCCTTGAGGACAGCATATCGCTTATTGCTGTGGTCGTGCTGCTATTCTTTTTCCCCCAGAAACAGACACTCGAAAATGATGGAGGACCTTGAGCTTAAGTTTTGTTAGTCCTTGTCCTTGCGCACCTTGCTGGGGAGGGACTTTTCCCACCTCGGCAGCAACCAATGACAGTGTGGAGCCATCAGCCCCAGCTCTGCTCCCACCTGTAGCCTGCAGTGCTTTCAGCTGCAGCTCCTGTAACAGAAGGGCAGTGCTTTCCCTGCCTCTTTGGACCAACTGCAAGATACCAGGGACTTGGCCTAACTGCTGGGGGGCTTCTGGGCCAGCTCCACCAGAAGGTGGTTTTATGTAGAGAGAGCCCACGTGCCATGGAGTGAGCTGGTGCTGCGAGGCTTTTGGCAGGACCGGGTCCAAAATCAGTAGCAGGCAGCTTTTAGGAGTCTGGAGAATCTTTGACAATCACGGAGGGCGTCAGCAGCGCGTATGCAAATAGTAACTCTTCTGTTTCTTATTCCTTCACCCCTGTGGTGACTTTTATTACTTAATTATTGCACACCACATGCTTCAAAACAGCCTAATCTATGGTCGTGTTTTCTAATGATACTAGATGTGCGATCCAGCAATATACATCCCAAGGGGGCATTCATATGAGAGGAGACATCCTTCTGCAGACCTCCTGTTTCATAGATCACATGCTGCAGGGCTTTTCAAGGCTTTGCTTACAAATCAGCTGTGCTGCTTCAGACCGTTATCTCGAGACACCCTGTGCCAAAGGGGACAACCGGCATTTACCCTTTGTCTTCCCCTCTTCTCCCTGCTCCTTCCCTTCCAGTTTGGCGTTTCACACTGATAAAAGCCAGGTAAAATACTTACAGAGGATGAAAGATGTGGCAAATGTGTGGTCAAGTGTCTTATCATTTGGGTGGGTCTCCAGTCTCATTGCGTGGTGTAAACTTTGGTAGTCCTGGCACAAGCACATGGTGAGCCTTGTACACGGGCTCGTTTCTTTGGCCTGTCCCTTTGCTCTCCAAGGCAGCTTTCCTGGTGTGCAGGAATAGCAGGGAGGGATTCAGGAAAACATTGAGCCTTTGTGTGTAGTGTTTGATTATTGATTTTTGTGGTAGCTGCATGCGTTTTCACATCTCTATGGAGGTGACTTTTACCATCTCCAATGGACCAGCCAGTTGGTGACTGATTAGTCCACAGCTGGCTTGTAAGTAAATGCTTGAAAGGACACATTTGGGTTGATGCTCTTCAGAGATCCTTCCCTGCCGTGTGATTAATCGCATTTAAGTCCTGATCCAGCAAAGTATAGAATCACGCCTGGAATAATACACGCATGAACTGCCTCTTTGAAATCAGTGGGAATGACTCGTGTGCTTAGTTATACATGTAAGCTCTGGTGGGGCTGTAGGACGTGGGGCTTTGTCTGGCTTTTCCTGCCTCCTTTGAGAGAAATCCTAAGGAAGCGGGGAAGAGCAGGGGACACCAGGTAACACACTACTTTGACTAAGGTTACCAGAGAAATTTCAGCAAGGCGGCTTTTTCTTTGTAGGTCAAACACTGATCTCAGTGGAGTGGATGGGGAATTTTGGCCCCGATATCAGTGCCACTTGGCAGTGTGACAGTATTTCTGACTTGCAGCTGGCCTTTGGGAAAACGTCCTCTTGCCTTAGTGTTACTTAAGGACAGGAATGAACGGCTTGTGTGTTCTGTTTCCTTTTGTCACCCTGCCCAGATGTCACTCCTCTGAACTGGGAGGATTTTGCTTTTATCAGCTATGGATGCTGTGGGGAGAGTGGGGGAAACATCTGCTGAAAACACTTATGGCGGATTAAAATCCATCTCGTTCAGAGTAACCCAGATCTCCTTGTTTTGGCACAAGCACCCTGCCACGGAAAGGGAAAGAAGTTCTGATAGGATGCAACAAATTATTTATAATTGTGGAAAAAAAATAATCAACTGCTTCCTTTTATAGTCAAATAGTTGGAGCCACTTCTAATGTTGACATTTCCTAAATATTTTAAAATTTATCTGTGCGCATTTTCAAAACTATTATCCCTGAAACAGTTCCTGTCTCTTTAATAGACTCTCTCTAATTTACTTTCAAGAGTCAGGGTACAGACCTATTTTCAACTGAAATGACAAGCGCCTGCTAACTTGGTTATACAATGTGGTACGCTAGTCTGCCAGAAATCTCTTGGAAAAGAAGCTGCAGCCTCCTAATAGGCTATTTTACTGTGAAAACAATGTTAAAAAGTATAATAAAGTATTAACAATATTAAAATAAAACAGTGTAGGCCTTAAATGAGCTACAAACTAGTTAAATCTATTCTATTCAATATGAGCCTTCAGTGCTTTGCAGCTGATACCTCAGAGCTGGGATTTATCTAAAATGAAGGCACCAGGGACATGCAAGAGAAATGGTAATTATAATTTGCAAACATTAGGCTGACACTTTTTTGTGTATGTGTGTATAAATTTTGACAGCTGTGATTTGTGCCATGCCAAATAGTGCTCCACTGGGCTGGGAAGGGCTCCCTTTCTGGCAGTCCATCCTCGGAGCAGCAGCTCATTAAAACTTTGGAGAAGGAGAAGTTGCCGAAAACAGGAAGGCGTCAGAACCATCTGAGGGACTTTTGGTACACGCTTGTTGAAAGGTGTTCGAGAAGAGAGCCTTGGGTCTGACAAACTGGAATTTTAGTACGCCTCTCCGTTCACAGTGGGGCAAAATAATTGGTCATCAGTGACTACTAATTTGGTTTAGTAGCCAGAGGCGTTTTTTTTCTTCCCAGAAAATCAATGACAGTGCCGAGGTCTGTTCAACGTGATTCAGCTCAAGATGGGTCCTCATTTAGCTCTTGATGCTTCTTCCACTGGAGACAGCTATTTTGTAAAATGAAATTAAAATCTATCTATAATACTCGGCTCAGGGAGCGGCACCCGTCAATGCCATGCTGCTCTTGAGGTTTCAAGGTTGTCAGTCTCCCCTCAAACTTATTTTCAAAGGTTTATATATCAACTGGAAAAAAAGGTACTTGGCAAAAGTGGATACGAAGGACTTTGCTCAGGGAGGGGGTTTATACCAGCTTAAAAGGTGCAATCAATTTGATTGGTAAGTTCTGTTGTAAAAGGGTAAAAACTTGACTGGTGATTGCCTTTTTCTTGTATAATTCAAAGGCACAGGGGCTTTAAATATTTTAGCGCAAACTTCAGCCCTTGGATTTTCTGGGTAGCTCTCCAGCCAGTGCAGGCGGATCCCGCAGCACTCTTCCCGCTGCTGGGCAGGACAGGGTCCGGCGGGGAGCGGAGCGAGGGAGCAGAGGACACGTGCACGGGCATCGGCTCCCCGGCGGCTGCGCAGCTGTTTGGGTTGCGCTGAAAACACTGCTCTAATTTCAATGGCAGCGGGATCTGGCCCTGCGTGGGTGCTTATGCAACAGATAAAACATACAATTGAAATTTTTTCACAGCTGTGATATTAACACTGCCGCAACACCACTGCCTTTCCTGAAACTTTAACCCTTTCTTGAAAGCTTAATGAGGTTTTGGGGGGTTTAATCATAGAATTGTTTAGGTTGGAAAAGATCTTTAAGATCACTGAATCCAACCAAGCCCTTGCTGGTGCCCTTCCATCGAAGATGATGTGCTTTTCCTGCACAGGCAGGATCTGCCTTTGGGGTCTTCAGTCCACGGGGGAGACAGCTGAGGGAGCGCCACCTTTGTATTCCTTTCCTGTGTACTTCATGATGGGAAGGACTTGTCCTGTGGTAGTAGTGCCCATACAGGTATCTTCCCCTGGCCTGTGCCTGGGACAGCCAAACAGGCTCCCACCACCTCAGGCTGGTTTCTTATTGGGAACCAGTTTGGTCTCCAACATCTCCGGAGCACGG